TTATATCTGTATACAGATAGGAAAGTAAAAAGGAGGAGAGTGAAACGATAATATCAAAGTTTTTAACCTTTGTTTTTGGATTACCATTTCTTCATCCTGAAGATGTAGGCGACACTTTCGCAACTGATTTAAGACAAATTAAGCCTGTCAATGAAAAAGTTTCACAATTTTGTGATTATCTCGTAGAAGTTGTAAAGGCTTTTGTTGGGTAAAGAGAGGGTAAACGTCAAACAACGTTGAACGGCTTCGAGAATTTCGCAGTAATGTTTACCTGCCAGTGTCGTTTCATAGAATAAGTAATTTTAAATTGTTATTGGCAGAACCGGACAATCACATGTATTTATGGACTATAAATAATTATTAAACAAGTATTATAATATTTAAATCATACTTTTACAAAATTTCAACAGCTATTCACAATTTACAGTCTATTCGCTATACTATTAGTTAATGTTATTTTAATTTAAATCTGACCATTAGGGCAATTTTACCTAATTTCTTGGGAAGAGGCTTCTTGGAACTGGTTGTCAATGACTAATTTGTATAATTTTGTTATTCCGAAACCCGCGTAAGTATACCGAACAGACTGTATTAAACTATTTACTCGAAATTGGTATTCGGTGAGATTCGCCGCAAACCTGTCAACTTATGTGTATAAAGTGGGAAAACTGGCAAAAGCCTTTCCAATTTCTACTTTTTCTAAAATTATATTGCAAGACTCATCTATTCATCCATTTATATGGGCAGAGCATTCTTCTTCTTTGCAGAGAACCATTAATTGTTGTGAGTCTTTTCATTCGAAATATAATGCTTCCTTTTACGCAGCTCACCCTAATGTGAATGTTTTTAAAAATGTGATAGCTTAATTTCAAATTGACACATATAAAAATTAATAGTGTTCTAATCCCAAAAAACTTGACACTCGAAGTTTAAGGAGAAGAAGATTTCTCGAAGACTTACTGAGTGATTTAAATCAACATAAAATAAGTAAATTAGACTTTATTAAAATAATTTCGTATAAATTTAGAGCTAAGTTTTAATAATTATATTTTACAGTTTTATTAAAGATTTAAATATGTAGTTGTTGTTGAAATATTGCCTATTAGTCAATTTACAAAATACCTAGAATAATTAATAAAATAACAAAAGTTACTAAAAAGAATTACAGTTCATCAAATTTCTAGAGGTGTTCGACGCCCAGACAGAGAACGCGCTACGTGTGACTAAGATAGCTATTGTACAGTCTGCTAAACAAGTTATTTTAAATAGTTTTTAATATTTTTAGGTAATTAAATTTTAAAAGTGTGGAATAGTTTAGGGATTAAATTGGTCTGATTGGACTTTCTTAGAACGTTTTTAAAAGCAGCTAAAGATAGTATGTAGAATTGAAAATAATTATTATGCCATAAAAGGTGTTTTGGAATTCCTTCAACCTTTTGAAATTGAGTCAGAAAATATAAATTTTATAGGATAGCGGAAAATACCTATAATTTTTTTGTAGGCCTTTGTAAATCGTGGAAATAGTTTATATTTTATTTCTACCTTATTAAGGAAAATGGTACCTATTATTAATAACGGTTGTTTCTGAAACATTACTAAAATTTTCGAAATTTTGTTTTTGTACAAAATAATAAACTGTACTATTTAGAAAAAAAATTATTTTTCTTATAATTTTATAAAAAATAACAGGGGAATATTTACATTTCTTGATCTATTAAACAAAACGATAAATTATCTCGACGAATGACACCATGTTCTAGTACGGAAGCTTTACATTTTTGTTGGTGGTTTCATGGGTTTCATATCAATTTTTTGTAATTGTAGTTTACACGTACATATACCTCTTAACACTTGTTTGCTTTATTAAAAAAGTGTGTTGTTGTGATTTACGTCGAAATAAGTCAAAAACAACTTGAAACCCCATATAAAATCAAAAAGGAGAAACGGAAAAAAATTGAGCCTGTAAATGAACACAACTCAGAAACAAAAATAGCTATCTAATAATAATAAAATAAAATTTGATTCTTGTGCAGCTTCATCTATATCATTAACTGTTTTTGGTTTTTTAGTGGTTTTTCTTGGTGATGAAAATTCCGATATCTCACGGTTATCGATTCTTTTTTTCTCTCCAGAAATGCGGACGACAGTGTTTTTAGATACTCCTGTGGCTGCAGCAACACGATCATTTACATTTTTAAATGGTATTGAAGGTGAATTAAAGTTTCCTTTTCTTCTCATAAACTCTATAACATTGGCTATTATTTCGCGAGATTGACTGTTAATCACGCGGCCTCTTAATTTGCTATTAAACTCCATACTTAGGTTCTATTAAACTGTAATGAGCAAAAAACACAAACGAAAATAAAAGAAATGTTTTAGCGAAATTTACATCTGACATTTACGTCTGAATAAAATAGTGAAATACTTGATGCGCAGAGTGTACTTTCATTGCGTAAATCCTTCGGCCCCGCAACCGATGCCTCTCACTCTCTCAGTAGTGCTTTCTCTGTCTAGCCGTCGAAAGCCTCTAGAAATTTGATGAACTGTAATATTCTTAAAACCTTACTGGCTAAAAAATATTTTCTGAAAATGTTACTGACTGAATATAAAGAAAACGTTAGTAGAATTATTAATAAACAACGCAAAAGATGGCAACAATGGCCCAATTTTACAGCTTAGCCTACGATAAGTGACACCTTATGGGGATCGATAATTTGGCAATCATATCGATATAAAGTGATTTGTTTGATAATATACATATGACTGATCTTATTTCTGAATTTTCCAGAAAGAAAACGCTTAAAGCTAATTTTATTTAGTGTTTTCATTTAAGAATAGGTAACTTTATATCTTGTTCAAAAAATTGTTTATTTTTTGTAGTAAAATGTATATTTGTGCGCTTAAGTTGTATTATTTAATTAGCAATTACAATATTAAATGAACATAGTACATAATATAAAACATAAAAAATGTATGCGCTAATTTAGCAAAATACACGACTGCGTTCAAGCGGGTTGCAACGGTCCTGATTTCATCGCTTTGCTTACACTTTCTTATTGATTAAATTCTCATCGTCGAATGGGAGTTAAAATGTTGTGAACCTACTACTTATAACAATACAATTCGAAAATACATAACATCCACACCCTACACCAAGAAACCTTTCGAGGTAAAAAATAAAAAACAAAGCGAAGAAGAAAGAGGAATGCTTTTGAGACGATTAGAAGACGCCTGGAGAAAGCTTATCCTTCGAAATATCTTATTATCCTTCGTTGTTTACCTGCTGCTCATTTTCCTTTTGTGGAATTAAGACAAAATATTCCAAGTTCAATTGTACGTGGGACTCTAATGACTGCTAAGCCAATTTTGAGGGTTAGATCGACAAATAGCATCTTATAACGGTGTTTAACTTTATTTTAGGATTTTTTAACTTTATATTTTAGTATCAGTGGCGTTTATTGGAGACATTAAATGGTTATTTTTGGATTTCTATTTTTTAAATAAAAATAAGTTCGTTTTCAAGTATTTGGAATTTTTTTGTATATTCAGAAAAATAATACTGTTTATTAATAATATATATAAAGGATTAATTACGGATCATCATGCAACTATATTTGATTGGAATGTTTTTAAGGAGTAATATTATAATAAACAAAATCATATTCTGTGTTTTTCTTTGACAGAATAACTTATCGTTTTTTACACTGCACTATACTCAATTCCTCTTTCTCAAGCATAGAACAATTCCTGGTCGGCAGTTTCATGTTTCCTGTCCTTCTATTTTTAATTAACAAGCCATTTAGAAACAAAAATTCTCAGGTATAGAGTTTGTCAGTTTTTATTTTGTGTCAAAAAAGTACTCCTTGTTTCTCCCAAGCCTGCGCAACTACAGTTAGTTTCTTGGAACCTCTTTTTATTTTCTAGACTATTTTAAACATATTTTTAATAAATTTTTATTAAAACAACGCCGCAACAATTAAAATGCAGTTATAATTTGGAAAAATTATCTAATATATCCATACTTTACCTGCTATAAGAAATCACATAAACTGTAAACAAAAACAGCACAAAAAATATAGAAATTTAAGGTTATGTTTATAAAAATTGTAGTATAATTGAGCAAAATGGAACTTTAAATAGCATAAAGTTCGATTAAAGTTTCGGTACAAAACAAAAATTGTTCTATCAAGGATCGATCCCATATTATAGAAAAATACTAAATAAATAGTTTTGAAAAACTATTAAAACCAGTTGTAAAGTTTGAAACGAATAAATTGGTACTGAAATTAATATTTTTGTATTTGATTATATGTTACTCTTTCTACTTCCTGAAAAAAAGATTTCCCATAAAATAAATAATAATAAACAGTTTATAATAATAATCTTTATTTGCTACTTATAACAAGTACTAATGACCAAGTCCGGTTCTGTTTATTTTAATAAACAAATATGGACGTCGATAGAATCATTAAGAATTAAATAACTTACCGAAATAAATGTAAGTTTCTTTTATCGCCGTTACACTTCGAACTTTTATTATAAATAATGCTTTTTACAACACATCTTGGCATTTTTAAAAATTGTTCACTTATATTTTAAATCTTTATACATATATAATCATTGCAATCGACACAAAAATTTTCTTTTAGTGAGAATCCATATCAGAAGTACAAGAAAATGCCTTTCTTTATGTCGTATTACTGTGAAGAAACAAAAAAATCCTGCAGACCTTACAGAACAGCTTAACTAACTAAAAAGTTATATAAAACGATGCCCATTTTTTGGTATAAGTGTTGTAAGAACGTTCTGAAAATGTTCTAAGAACATTGCTTTATAAAATTTGCTCTAAAAACGTTGTTACGATTTTTATGGAACACGAAATTCTTAGCTAGTGTTATTTTATGTTGTACTTTTGGTACAAAACATTAAAAACATGTTCACACAAGCATTATTTTCAACATTTTATTTCAAGAAGCTCTCTTTATTCCAGGTTAGGACTAATGTCACATTTTGGTGCACTAGCGGCGGCCAGTAGCCGGTATGCAGCGCTATGTGGAACACCAACGGATCCAAGGACGCTGCCTTGGTACTGGGGAAGAATACCTTCTCAGGTTCCTAAAGACCAATCAAGTCCTAACGGTAAGATTTTATATAATTTATTTATTTATTGTGTGGTCTGCTTTAAGTGAACACATGTTTGTTAACCTCGTTCTCAAAAAAGTGACAGAAATAAGATATTTCAACGAAAAATTTAAGTTAAAAGTGCATTCCTGTGATAAATGATTGTGCCATAAGTTCAAAACTAGTAAAACTGTATGTATCTATGTGCTTATTTTCATAAAATTTCCTTTGGAAACTAAAATTTACCGATATTGAAATAGTTTTTTGGTTTAAACTTACCCTGATAAGAATTTAATAAATCTATTAATATAAAGGTGGCCATACACTATAAATTAATTATTAATTTTTAAATCTCATATTCCGAATAAGATGTCAGAATCAGTGATCAGAAGAGTTGTTGAAGAATCATTAAAAAAGGTTTTAGAAGAAGTAAAAAAGAATAGATCTGAATTAAAGCTTGCCATTGATTCAAGCGAGACTCGATTAATGCTGAAGCTAGAGGAACAAAACGCTAAAATAAGAGTATTAGAACAAGAAAATTCTACACTGAAACAAAAAATAAAATATCTGGAAAAAAACCAGAGAAAAAACAATTTAATTTTATTTGGGCTCAATAAGCCACAGGAAGATTTAAGAACAGAATTAGTTATTAACGAGATAAAAAAACTTGTTGGAGTCGAAGTAAGTGAAGGAGATATAAGTAACTTCTATACTCTTGGAAAATCACCAGCAGCTCCCTTAAAAATCGAATTCGTAACATACTTTAAGAAAAACGAAATATTTCAAAAAAGAAAAAACCTCAAAGGGTCTGGTTTCTCAATTAACGAAGATTTAACAGAGGAAGACAGGGAAACATATAAACAACTAAAAAATTATTTAATAGAATACAGAAAATCTGAAAAATATAAGAAGTGTTATATTCGAGGTAACTAAAACATTTTAAAAAAAATCTGACTCTCTACGTTGAACAACACCGTGATTTAATTCATTATGTAATCGAGATTCTGTAGTTAAGCAGATATATCTGTCTTCGGTCTATCTTTCCACTGTTTCAGAAACTGTAAAAACATTTATTTTTTAATTTATCTTTAAATTTGTCTCTTAGTGAAGTTATTTATTGTGTATTGTTTGTTCAATATATAAAAATTGTATGAAATGTTTATCCACAATGTATTTTTATGCATATTATGTTATTTAAAAATATAGTCATTTAATTTTAATTATTGTCTAGTATATATTTGTATTTAGATTTACTATATTGTATATTGTATGTATTTTTTATTCTAAATTATTTTCGAAACAAGTGTTAAATCGCTTATCGAGCATAATAATTTATTCTAATTTACTATATTAACATGTACTTCTATTTTTGAGAATAAATTATATTATTATTATTATTATTATTATTATTATTATTATTATCTCAAACAGTGTGTGTGTTTATAATTATTCCATATAATAGTGAATATCCATAGTGTATATACAATCTATAATTCCTATTACATTAATCTAATATTTTGTTGGAAAATGTGTTTTGGAAATTACTGGTAGAATATAGTATACTTACGCGGGTTTCGGGTTAACAAAATTATGCAAATTAGTCATTGACAACCAGTTCCAATAAGCCTCTTCCCAAGAAATTAGGTAAAATTGCCCTAATGGTCAGATTTAAATTAAAATAATATTAGGGTAGGTACTAATTTTTTACATTGCAATTGAATTGATTCTTTGCAAGTGTTGACATTGTATGTTTATTGTAAATTTAGTGGAAATTTTAAATATGCCTAGACGTGTGTTAGATGTAGATAGTCTAATTTGTAGTGTACATAAGTATTTTACGGATGAAAAAGAAAATGGCGGTCCTTTAAAATCGGTAATGTCTGTACAACAACGCGTATGCGATGCTCTAGGAATTAGTGAAACCAAATTAAGAGGAGTATTACAAAATTACAATAAAAAACTGCCGAAAGAAGATCACCGCAAAACTCACCCATCATTGAAAACGAAAGATATTCCAGATGGAAAGAAATTTGAAATTCGTGATACCATTTATCGAATGAGGGCCAACAAGGAACATGTGACCTTAAATACAATTCTCTCGGAATTAATAGATAGAAAATTTGACGACATTGGCAGAACAAGTCTGTGGCAAGTGATACATAACTTAAGTTTCAAATTTCAAAAGGAGGATAACAGAAAGGCTCTTTGTGAAAGAAGTTCTGTCGTGCACAAGAGAATTAACTTTTTAAGAAAATATTCTAAATTTAAAGAAGAAGGGGCGAATTTTATATATTTAGACGAAACATGGATATTTTCTAGGGGTGCAACCAAGGGAATATGGCAAGATGATAACGTAAAGTCCTTTAAACATACCGATGAAGAAGGGAAGCGACAACACATAATTTTACATGCAGGAGGGAAATCGGGTTTTATAGAAGGTGCTGATTTAATATTTTCATCTAAATCAAAATCCATTGACTATCACGATAATATGAACACAGAAATGTTTGTAAAATGGTTGCATGAAAAACTTCTCCCAGGTTTAAGTGAGCCCAGCGTAATTATTTTAGACAATACACCTTACCATTCTGAAGTATTAAACAAAAGTCCAACAAATTCTTGGACTGTTGATAAAATTAAAGAATGGTTGACAAAGGAACATACCATTTCCTCAATATATATTAAAATCAGAATTATTACGCTTGGCAAATATGCACGCAAAACCAAAAACTTTTGTTGTGGATCAGATTATTAAAAGTTACGGTCATCAAGTTTTACGTCTGCCACCGTATCATTGCCAGTTTAATCCCACCAAATATATATGGGGAATAGCAAAACAATATTATGACAACCATATTGGGCCTAATGGTTATAGTGACGACGCAGTTCGAGAAACTTGGCGAAAAGCACTTTCAATTGCAACTCCAGAAGTGTGGCGGAACTGTATATCCAAGTGCGAGAAACTAATAGAAGATTGGTGGACTCGTGAAAATAAAATAAACGAAATAAGTCCAATCACAATAACAATTAATGGCGATGACAGTGATGATGATGAAGATTATGATATTTTGTTGACAAGTTCAATTTTTTTTATTTTTCATTTGAAATTCTTTACATGGAACAAATTTTTATGTTAGAAAATATTTTATTTGAGCTAAATAACCCTCTTATTATACATAGACCATATTTTCTATGTGAAGGGTAATATAAAATTATTAATAGGTTTATAATAGCCATATTAGACTCCATTAATGAAGAAGTTTAATTCTGTTCTCAATTATACACAAAAGATTCTCCATTATTATTTAATTATCATTTCATTTAACCAGTTGATATTTCCCCAAAGAACAGGTCAAACTTACGGGTACTTACCTGGAAATACTCATAAAATTTTTAATCCGAAACCCGCGTTAGTATAGCGAACAGACTGTAGTAGCTATTAACTGTAGTGCAAAAAGCCAATAATGTGTCTCCTTAAAATACCATTGCAAACAATCACTAATTAGAATATTTAAATGTTTATTTTCGCGAGATAAATGTCTTACTTAAGATGGATTATGTTTATTGTGCCATGAAAAAGTTGCTTAATCAGTAAATAAACTATATTTTAAAAAAATTTCATTTTAATTTCGCTGATTCTTCATAATTTTACAAAACTGCATTTAACAAATACAAAGTAACAAAATTATGCTATACCTACTTATTGTGACAAATATGTTTATTTTTATGTTTATTGTAAATGTTCAACGATTCAATTTTAATGCTTTCCGACGTGTTACGAATATTGACATGTAATTAATAGATATGGACGTATCTACATATATCCTATGGCTCATATAATTTTTTCCTAACCTGTATATCATATTTTACCTTAATTTATTCATAATTTCTAAATTAAATTAAACTTTCTACCCTATTTAATTAAGTACCTAATCAATGAAGTATTCGTATTCGTCTAATGGGAATTTCTCACTGACACACATGTAGACAACACACAAGTCGATAAAACATTTATTTTTTTATCGAATTCGACTTTGCATTTAATCTTCGCACAAATTGAAAACAGAAAACCGATCCAATAATTGCAGCAAATTGCAGAACGGCTTCCGCGGACTTACAAAGCATTGCGTAATCAAGTTTAAGGCGATTAGAAACCGGGTATTTGAAAGTATTTTTATTGTTGTGTCTGATTTCCTTGCAGGGGAGTCAACATTGTATATAGTCGGTTGTAAAAATAAAATTCCCGTTTTCAATCTTGATAGTCTGATCAAACTCAATCATCGGATACAATAAAGTAGAGAGCAAAATGTTTTTGAGTTCACATTCTTTTACGTTTTGTAAATTATTGTGTTTAAGATTTTTAGGAACAATGTCTAGGCCAGTGGTCGCCAACCTATCGATCGCGAGCTACCGGTAGCTCGCGGAGGCAATTCTGGTAGCTCTCACAACGATTTTAATTTTAAAACTACAAACTGCAAAAATCAGAGAAGCTTCCGAAAATTCCACAAAAAAATATAATTGTCATAATATTAAACATAAAAGCGGCAACGTTGCGGTGAGCGATCTGCCGCTGACGCCATCAAACTAGAATCGGCTAGAACCGACCAGCCGGACCAGCGCGTTAGTGTTCGAGAACGATAAGAATTGCTTTGAACGGGATAAATACGCACGGCGCGGCGACATTGCGCTTAGTTTAAAACTGAACGCGTAACCAACGTCCAGCGGTTAGGTTAGTAGAGAACAACAACAAATAATATTATGGCAAGCAGTTGTAAGAAGGTAAAGATATACCACTTTCATTCGGAATGGGAAGAACAATACTTTTTTACAGAAGTTAAAGATAAAAATGTGTGTTTGTTATGTAATACTTCGGTCTCCGTTGCCAAAAAAGGAAATATTGAGAGACATCATAAAACTGTACATTCTAATTTTGAAAAATCATTCCCACTACATTCGGTCGCCAGAAAGGAGATACTGAAACAGTTAAAAAAGCAGTTAATTGGACAACAATCAATACT